CTCAGGAGCAGTCCCCTGGCCCCACAGACTCTGGCTCAGGGAACCACTGCCAGCTTCTCCTGGCTCCTGCTGGTGGCAGTGGGGCTGCACCTGGAGGACAGGATCTGAGTGTGACACAGACTGTGTCTGGTGTTGTGGACCATTTTCCAGCAGCGTCACCCAAATGCCCTGGCCACCTTGCCAGCCAGGGCCTGGTTGTCTACCCGTGGAATGATCTAACCAGCAGCACAGGCTGCATATCTGAGAGAACAGCCTCCCAGCAAGGCCCCAGGCTTCCCCAGGGGCTTGTCCCTGTACCAAAGACTGTGAGAGGGGGCCAGCCAGGGGCAGGGCAACTGCCAGCTCAGAAAGTGTCTGAGGCCTCTCAGGCTCAGCCCCTCCTGACCCTGGGTGAGAGGCAGCTTCCTGCAGGAGTTGCCCTGTCCAGCTCTGGCAAACCCAGTGTGCCTGACCCAGCCACGTGGGAGCCTTCTTGGGGAGCAAGCCAGACTTGTGGCTGCCTCAGCAAACAGCCAGCATCAGGACAATGCAGGGCTTTGGCTTCCCATGGGCACAACCGGAGAGCGTGGGCTGTAAAGGAAGAGCAGGTGCAGCTGTGGGCAGCAGAAATCCTCCTGGCCTTAGAGGGACTTCACCAACAGGGTATATTGTGCCGGGACCTCAACCCCAGGAACGTGCTGCTTGATACAGCTGGTAGGTAATGCCCCTTGCTGCTGCCCCAAGGAGGAGGAAATTGGTCTCCCAGCTGGGAGACTGCTGCTTGCCCCATTTCCAGAAGATGTGGACTTTCTTGTGTTTGCTTTGGAGGAGAGTGGGAGTCTGGGAAGGTTTGGTATTTCTGAAATTGGAAGTGTGATCTCACTTAGGTTTTCCAAGTAATTATTACAAGAGATAGCTCTGCAGCAGGAGAGTCAAGGGCCATAGCCACAGAAATGCATTGCCCCTGTTCCCGTGTGGGGGTTGGCTGCCTGGGAAATCCCAGCCTGGGGAAGCTGAGACCAGCTGAACTGTGCCTCAGGTTAGTGGGACTAGTGGGTTAGTTTTCCCCTGCTTATAGTAACTGCCTGCTGGGGATGTTCTGGAGCTGTCCCGTCCCTCTGAGCCATGGGTCTTGCTGTCAGTGCAAGTCCCTGCTCAGCTGGCAACATCTGGGACAAATTGGAGAGCTACAAATTGCTTAAGAAAAATGCAGAGAGTTTTGCAAGGAGAAAGCTAACCTTCTCCCCATCTTTTCCTTTAAAACCTGCTTCTTTCCTCACCACAGCCTGCACTGAGATCTGTGAGCTTGGAGCCTGCCTAAGCAGTCTCACCTGTTGGGCACCTCAGGCAAGCACTGGGAGGCCAGCAGAAGGGTGTGTGGTGCCAGGGGATGCTCAGTTCCTCTGTGTTCAGGGCATGACAGGGCCCCAGTGCCCTGGCTGCTCCCAGTGGCAGGGATATGGCTTGGCTTCATGCTACAACCAAAGTGCCCAGTCATTCCTAACCTTCCTGCTTTTGACTTGGTGCTGCTCTCTCTGCAGGTCATGTCCGTCTCACCTTCTTTGGCCAGTGGACAGAGGTGGAGCCCCAGTTCTGCAGCCAGGCACGGGAAAAGCTGTACAGTGCTCCAGGTAAGGGACGTGTCCCCTGGCTTCTCCAGCTCTCTGCCCAGTGGCTCCAATTGGACAGAGGGGGCTCCTGCAGGCGTGAAATGTGCCCAGCACAGTGTAGTCACTGGTGCCCCTTGCCTCCAGCTCTAACCCCTCTCTTTCTCTTTCTGCAGAAGTTGGGGGGATCATGGAGCCCACTGAAGCAGCTGACTGCTGGAGCTTTGGCTCTCTCTTGTATGAGTTGCTGACAGGAGTGGTAAGAGGCTGAGGAGCTGTGCAAGGAGGACAGGGGAGGAGGAGGCTTAAGGGCTGCCTGCTGTGTAGGGCTGGGAGGAAGCCTAGCTCTGCTGGCATCTCAGTTTTTGGCCAGGTTCCTTTAGACATGTGATTGCCAGTGCTTGTGCATGGTGTCTGGGTGTTAAGGGCCCTGGCTTTTAAATACTGCTGTGTAGGGCTGGGGTTATGTGGCAATGATGATTCAAAGGGTGCTCCAGCCCTCCTTGGTGCCTCTGCTTACCATCACCCTCTGCCTCCTGCAGCCACTCTCCCAAAACCATCCATCAGGGATTCAGCCTCACACCCAGCTGCATCTGCCAGAGGGCCTCAGCCTGGCTGCTACATCGCTGCTCACTGAGGTGAGGGGCTTGGGTGGATGGGAGGGAGAATGGGACTAGAGGTTGGGGAAAGGCAGGGTCCAGCCTGGGTACCATTGCCAGTGTCCCCATCTCCCCATCCTCCTGTTCCATTGCTTTTCTCTGCAGCTCCTGCAGTACAATCCAAAACGACGCTTGGGCTCTGGAGGAGGTGGCATAACAAAGCTGAAGTCTCACTCCTTCTTCAGCACAGTCTCGTGGAACAAGCTGGTGGGCTAGGCAGGCTGTCCTTCCCCCAGGGAGCTGGGCCCTGGGCTGCTTCCCTGGCACTTGTGGCCGCAGTGGCACTGGCAGCACTGCCTGCTGGGGAAGGCTTGCCTCAAGGGCTGCCCTGAGGTGGGGCACACATGAGGTTCTGCAGCCTTACCTGTCCTTCTGTCTCGGCTTCTGTTCGTTGCCATCTCCAAAGAGGAGGCGTCAGGCTGGGCCTGTCTTCTCCAGGTCCTCCCTGTGGGGAAAAGGAACCTGGGTACCCACCTCCAGGAAGTGGTGGTGTTCCCCTTCTTGGGGCATCTCTTCTTCAGCTCAGCACCCTGCCCTGGAACTCCCTCCCTGTGTTTTTTATCTCTGCTGCTACCACAGTGACCCCCCTGCTCTGTTACTTTTTGTGGCTTTCAAATGCAGCCCCTCTGGGCCCTGCTGGCTGGAGCCCAAGCCTGCTGTCTCTGCCCCTCCCTGACTGCATGTGTGTGTGTGGGTCATCCTTGCTGCAGGGGTGACACAAGGAGCCCTCTGCTCTTCTCCCCTTTGCCCTCTGAAAAAAATAAATGACTCAATATCACTTAAAGAAGCGTCCTTTTGTTTCTGAGCTGCATCAGCGAGGTGTAGGCCAAGCCTGCTGAGTGACAGAGAGCCCCAGATCTGTTTCTGCACCCTGCCTGGGAGCCCTGGGTTGGTGTCACCCCAGCCATCAGCACCCTGCAGCCAAACCCCAGAAGGTGGCAGTGAGTGCCTGGCCTTGTGTCCTTGTGCTGCTGCCTGCCTCACAGCCTCAGGTCTGCACAGCTGTGTGGCTGCAGCTCAGATGTGGGAGAAATGCCTGGCTTTTCTTCCAGCCTTTTGTCATTGTTAGGTGTTGTGGCTCCAGCCTTCCACGCCCGGGTGCTCCTTCCCGCTGGCAGGACAGCAGCCCTGCCAACTGTGCTTTGAGCATGGCCATCCCTGGTGGCTCACACCGTGAGGGTTTGAAGGGGGGAGCCCTGAGAGCCAGCACAGAGGGAAGGAGGCCACGTGTACATAGATTCTGGATTAAAGAAAAAGCACAAACACATGTGTCTGCTGACAGCCCAAGGTGGAGGCTGCCGTGCTGCGCCCGCAGCAGCAGACACCCTCCCAGGCAGCAGCAGGAGTGCTCGTCCACCAGAGGGAAGCAGAGCTCTGGAGAAACTCCTCTCCTACACCAGCAAAGGTACAGACACCTCGATTGCTGTGCAGAAATCGGATGACCGAGCAGGGAGCTGACCGCTAATGCCACAGAAGGCCAGAGAGCAGGAGCAGCTGAGCCTGGAGCTTTTCCTCTCCATGGCAGCCCGCAGTGGCTGAACCCTCCAGCTGCATCCTTGCACCCCTGTCCACCAGCCTCCTAGTCCTGTGATTCAGGGGAGATTCAGGAGGAAGGACCCTCTGTCTAAAGCCACAGCATGGCATCTCACGGTTCAGTGCCATGGGTGTCACCCAAGGGAGTCAAAAGGAAGTTTCAAGCACTATTCTCTTACAGCAAGCCTTCACAGGGCAGATTAAATAAAGCAGTTTACATAATTTTAAGAGTTTGACTGTATATTCCCTTTCTTGAGGGGATCTCTTGGTTCAAAGACGTCACTTACTGCAGCTCCAGACAGAACAAAGGCTTCCCCAGGCTCATGTACAAAGTCAAGGTGGACCCCCTGTATCCCAAACCAGCACAGAGGCTGAGTGTAAGCAGCATTTTTTAATCAAAACCTTCTCTTTCACTCAACTTATTTGTACAAGAATTAGACTCTCTACCCTTCCCAGAACAAGGAAGGGTTTTTTCCTCTTCCCCTAACCTACCTTAGCCAGGGCCAGGCAAAGAAGCTGACTCTGCACTCTGTTTTTGTCCCTAGCTGCCAGGAAAATGCAGACACCAGTACCAGGAACTGCCCTCCCTTCCATCTGTCTGGCAGCTGTGAGTGCAGTCATTTTCTGTTAGAAGGGGCTGCCCTCTTCAGCTGTAACTGGGAAGGGTAAACCATCTCTGAAGTTGATGTCAGAGCTGGGAAAACCCTGCCATGATCCAGGAATGATTTGGTGTTGTCCCAACAAGGACAGCTTCTTAGGGAAACACCCAGTACCACAGACAGCTTCCACTGTTCCTTGCTCTTGCTTCCTTTCTCCCTCTGCAACAGCTTTTCCACACTTGCACGAATTACAATTCTCCCCTGTGGCAGCAGTAAAAATTCAACTTCTGAAAAACTTTATGAGCCTGTCCCAGGTCTCGCTCTTGGCTATCATGCCCTTTAGCTAACACTGGGAATTCCTCTCACCATCTGCAATAATTCTGTTGCTAGAAAAGGATTGATTTCCAGCCCTAAAAACTCCTCTTTGCTGGGAACAGCTAATTCTTTGGCAGAGACTTCGAGGACAGCAGTATTCACAGGCAGAGAAGACTCAATTTAGTACCACGAGTGATGGGGTCAGCTCCCATTGCCCCTTTTCTCTCACCACCAGATAACAGGACTCTTGCACTGCACTCAGGATGCTGCTGATGCCAGAGTCCTCGCCCACTCAAACACACCCCACCTTGCAGTCGTTGCACAGTTTTATTTCATTTAAAATCCGCTGTGTTAAATATTTTTGTTACAAGTTCTGTGTAGGGGGTAAGAGTAATAGACTCTGCAGGCACTAGCAACCCCCTCACCCCTCAATTCATGTGTGCGCTATCAGATTAAGAACTGCCCCCCTCCCCCCAAAACCAGCACCCGTGGGCTGGGATATACATTACAGTGAAAGGCCTGGCCCCCCAGCTGTGTCGGCTGGGAGCAGCCAAGCCCCCGCACGCAGGAAGCCAGCAGGCAGACCCACCGCCAGTGAGCTGTGTGCCAAGGACAGCTGCTGGGGGCTGGTTCTCACCCCCATGTCGGGCATGTAATGGTGAAAGGGTTGTCCCCAGGAACGGTGCTACCTCCACAGAGGTCACGGGCTCTGCCCACCCCAACAAGAATATTCACGCCACAGTGACTGGGCTGGTGAAAGACAATCGCCAAGGGAAAGTAGGGGAGCTGCCACCCCGTGTTACTGTCTGTGGAGGGAGTGTAACTAGGGCACTGCCAGAAGCACGACTATCTCAAGCCCTGCTCTGACCAAAACTTTTCCTGCAAATGGCCTCGGGGTCAGACCACCCTTGCAAGGCAGATGAGTGTGAAATACTTTCAAGGAAAACATGGACAGGACAGTAGCCTTTCCTCTCCTCTCCTCTCCCTCCCAGGAACCTTAGTGCTAGGCAGTAAAGCTGAACCTGCCATGGAGGGGCAGGGAAGGGTACCCTAGCACAGCAGCAGCAAGCAGTTTCCAGTGGTATAGGACAAGCTAGAGGTGAGAGTTTGGTGCTGCGAGGGAGAAGATGCCACACAGATGGCTCTGGAAAGGCAGTGCCATTCAGTGGCTGGCCCACTGCACGGCAAGTTCTTGTGAGATACTAAACCTTCATTAAACAAAATAGGAAAGGAGGTAGGAGCTATCCCCATAATTCCCTCTGGGACAGCTCCAATCACAGCGGAGGGAGAAAGACTGGAATGACCCCTGCCAATTCCTGAATGCCCTGCATCGTCCCTGCTGGTGCTGCGGCCCTGTCCTGGGTGGGTTGTGTGGGGGTGTGGCTGCCCTACAGGTCGAGCAGCAGCACGCGGGGATCCTCCACCGCTGCCTTGATCTTGCGCAGGAAGGTCACGGCCTCTCTGCCGTCGATGAGCCGGTGATCGTAGGTCAGCGCCACGTACATCATAGGCCGCACCTCGATCTGAGGAGGGACAGGGGATTAGAGAGCTCAGTGCTCCTGCCTGCATGGCCCCCTCCTGTCAATTCAGGGAAGACCTGAATTGGCTTTTTCCCACCCCGAATCCTGCATTCAGGCCCTCCTGGATGTGTCCTGCCTGGCAAAATTATCTACCCATCCACCCAGGCTGGGTTCATGCCACATACAAGATAAGGGCCCTTCCTGGTACCATTCCCTGTCACAAAGGCTACAACCTCCTCCTTCCCACACCTAAGAGGATTATAACCAGTTTGCCCACTTACAGATAGGACAAAGTCCCCTGCACAGCTCAAGTACCAGGCAAGTACCAGGGCCAGCAAAGGTGCCCATTAGTCTCTGCTCCTTCTTCACTCTGAAGTGTTTCAGAAGTGACACCAACCCCTTAGAAAAAGGTCCTCAGTCTGCTGAGCACCGTCCTTTGTTCCCTAAAATCTCTGGTGCAGGTCCACCTACCTTGCCTCCCACAGCCACAGGCCTATCGAAGATGGCATGCATGCCTAAGATGGCAGACTGGGGTGGGTTAATGATAGGTGTTCCAAAGAGTGACCCAAAAACCCCACCATTGCTGATTGTGAAAGTGCCGCCATCCATGTCTTCAATGGCCAGTTCATTCTTCCGTGCCTAGAAGTAAAAATAAGTTCTTAGAAAGCCATACAGACCACAGAGATCAAAGAACGAGGGTTTGGACATCCACTCTTTCCAGGAATAAATATTGATTGCAAGGGCTTTGCTTATTGATTTGTTCAACTAAAAACCAGCACAAATTGCTTGAAAATGCATCCTGCCTTTAGAGTGAACAGCTTGTGGCTTTTGGGAAGGATTCGCTCGCCTTTGCATCCAACTCCTGCTTCTGCAGGAGACAGACACAGGGACTTCTACCCCAGGGCAGTTCAGCCTTGGCCTCTAAAGACAAAGGTGAAGATATACCATGTCACTAATGCACAGATTGTAGTTTTCTGGATGGGCAACAAGTAGAGCTGTCCTAGAAGGCAAAGGCACAGCCAGACATGTAACTGGATCACTCCCCACAGCACAGCTCAGTGTGTCAGAGGTCAGAGATGACGACACAGAGACCAAATCAATACATGCCGATCCAGACTTTCAATTCTTTCCACTCCCCCCACCCCTCCTCAGAAAACTTTCCTTACCTTCTCCCCCAACTCGTAGATAGCACGCTCTATGTCAGCGAAGTTCATGTTTTCTACATTCCTAACCACAGGGACCACCAGACCCTGGGGAGAAGCAAAGTCCACGTATAGCAAATTCAGTGCAGCAACACACAGATAGCTGTCATGCGGCAGGAATCTGGACACAGCCCCAGAGAGCTCCTGCCTCCCCCTCAGCCCACAGCAGCTGGTTGGCAGAGCTGCCTCACACCCTGGTAGCCTGACAGGAAACCTGGCATGACACGCATCAAAGGCTGACACCTTAAATTGAGCCATCATCTTTGCCTTTGCTAGCCTATCTCATAAAATCAACCAGGCCTGTCTGGAGCCAGATCCGCATTGATAAATTCCCAGGTGAGGCACTGGGAGATTTCAGCTGGCACCTCTTTCTCTCACCTCTTTTTGCTGGGCCTCCCCTTGACTTTGGGAGAAGACAGTGACAGAACTTTAGTCCTTTTCAAACCTCTGCTTCATAGCAGAATCTTCTAATCAAGAAGGTAATTCACTAATTCAACATCTGTAACTCCATCCCATACTCTCCCTGGACAGAAATATCTCTGTGGAACAGCACAGCAAAGTTAGCCAGAGGACAGGACGTTAAAGCTTTGACTGCCTATGTCATGGATTCACGTCAAGAAAGGGTTTCCCTAACCCGGCCTTACTCATTAACAACTAAAATCTCTATTGACGCTATTACCAGATCTCTTATTAAGATGAATATAGTGGTAGAATACTCTTGGTCCTCCACCTTCTCTCAAAACCTATCTCAGCAGTCCATAAAGCAGCAGGTTCTCTATAAATGATTCTCATTTATAGAATCAGTCTTATCAGTTAATTTCTGCTGCAGCAGAGCACAAAGCTGAGCTGGCTCAAAGTATATGATCATCCCATACGAAAGGCTGCAGGAAGCATGGACAAAGCATCCAAGGCACCTACCCGGGGAGTTGCTACAGCAACACTGATGTCCACATAATCCCTGTACACAATCTCTTTGGTCGTGTCATCAATCACTAGAAAGAGAACAAACTTGTGTTACATATGCAGAACCTAAGATCAAGGGTTTGACAGTTGAAAAAATTATAACAACTTGCTCATGTCCAGCTTAAACATAACTCCAGTGAAGAATGATTCCTTGCTGTACCTGTGGGAGAGGCACCAGGACAGACGGAAAGAAAACAGTCCACACAGCTCAGTCCTCCTCAGTTACTGTCCCCTCGGTTATTCTGTTCTTCTGTGTTTCAGCAAGCACCTCTGACACGCCCAGGAACTGCACTGTGCCTACAGCAGTCACCTGTACACCAACCAGCAGGCTCTGCCCTCTGCAAGCTGCATATACAAGGCCCCAGCCCCATTCCTGGTCACCCCTTCCTAATTGAGTCCCTCTTGGCAAGCTATCCTCTACCTATGTAAAGTGGCTTTAGCAAAATCAGCTGCAGCATGCAGGACTGTTCCCATGTTTTCTGTGCATTTGACTTGCTGCTCCAAGTTAATACTCCTGCCATGGACTTGGCCATTGGCTTTCCCCCATTCTGCCATGCTCCCTAGATATGCAAGTCACCAGCAAGGGTCACCACTCACCTGCATTCACAACAGGCTGGTCCTGCAGAGCAAAGGCTGCAGCTTTCACAAAAGCTGACATGAAACCTAGCTTCAAGTTGTGCTTTTTCAGAAAGGTATCCTTGTGTACAGCTCTCATCTCCCGGATGTTGCTGCGAAACACATGATAACATACGCTGGTAATCGGAATCCAAGAAAACACCGTTCCCTCACTCTGCAACAGATTCCAGTGCCAGCCCCAAGGATGCAAATCTGCACAACCAATGGGAAACCTCCAGTCTGCTGCAAAAGCCTTCATCTGTGATATAAACATGGCTCTAAGGTTCCTGCCAAAGGATCAAACAGAAACTGGTCCTGGACCACGAGCTCCACAGCCAAAGTAAACCTGCAAGGACCACACTGCCAAGAACAGAAGCAAGATGTGGCATGGTATATTTCCTGCTTAGGCCTGATGTTGCCACCTATTCTCTGGAGACAACAGTGCTCATACCAGTGTGGCACCACAGACAGCAAATGCAGGTGTGGCTGGACTGACACAGAAGGGTGAAAAACCAAGATGTGGCAAAAGCAGTAAACATGCAGGAAATAAAATCAAAGTGATCAAAGGAAAAGACCTCAACCACTCTGCAAATTCAGCACCAGACAGCACAACACCACTTTTGTACCCAACTCTCTGGCTTTGTAAGTTGAGTAAACATGAAAGGAATTTTCCCAGGAGCTATGGTAGTGGGTGCCAGTCCACCCATAGCTCTTGACCAGAAAAGTCACGTTTTCCCACTGTTTCTATTAATCAAAATTGAGGCCATTTACAAAACATCAACCAAACTGTAGCTACAAGCTCTGCCTATTCTAGCCTAACATCAGATGCCGTGGAATTGCATGGTTCATCCCCTCCCCCTTCAGAGACCTTCAGAGTTTCACCAAGGAGCAGGATTTTCCATGGTTTGGAGTGTTTGTTTTCCTGTGTCTAACCTTGTTTAGAGTTAGGATTACTGCCCAAAGACATTAGTGCCTCCCAAGACACAAGGGCTGCAGCAATGAGGATACGACTTGCTATGGAACTGCCTCATTAAGGCCTCCTCCTTTCAGACACTGACCCCCGTGGGAAGCAAGAGGCCCCAGCACAGGTCTTCACAAATCAACTTCACAGTAATCAATCCAAACCACATTACCAGATGCAACGAGAGCCCCAGGCCGGCGTAAAGCGACACCTCAATGAGCCTCTGAGAGGAGATAAAGCTGCAGCACTTCCCTCCAATCAAGACTATTTTGCCAGCCTTATTGTTCTGAGACCCAAATATTTACATGTTTTGTCTTAAGGAGTAGCATAGGATTTCACAAGGCAATTTGATTTGGGCACAATTTCCCCTTAATGCACTGTAACATAAGCTGCCCACCCTCCAAAGACATTAGTGTGCTCAGTCCATGCAAGCACTTGAGTCAGGAGCCCCCCACCTGCTTGAGAGGATGGGGAAGGGTGGTCTGTCTCTAGAAAGCTGTACCACCTGACAGCAAAGGCCTTAGGCCTAAGCAATGCTCACCTGAAAGGCTGATGAGCCCTGGAGAACCAACTCACTGGAAGTTAAACACCTCCAAAAGCAGTAACCTGGTGGAGTGGCAGAAAGCAGATGCTACATCTTGCTGTCTTCTAACAGCCACTACACGCAAGTGATACTAGTCCCTTCTGGTCTTCTGCTCAACATTTACCAGTCTTCCACCAAAAAGCCCACAGAAGAGGAGTCAGAGACTCTCCCTATTACAAGCAGCAGGTGACTCCCAAGGAATGACAGGTCATTAGGAAGCTATGTACCCCCTCATACCACAACACCAATGTGGTCTTGATGAAGCTATGCAGACTATAGTACATACTTAAGAAAGAGGGCCCAAAAGACATGCTGCCAGTCTCTTCAAAGAAAGCCTGCAAGGTTTTGACTGCTATTTAAAGATTACTGCCTTAATCTGTTTCTACTCATAAAAGGAAAAAGAGGTTTACTCCTCACCTCATATCAATCTCATTGAAAGTGGTCAGCATGGCACAAGTATTCTGAGCCTCTTTCAGCCGCTGAGCAATACGCTGACGCATCCTATTCATTTTCACCTGCAAATTAAAAAGGTATAAGCAGAAGCTGCCTAAAGCTCATCCAAGGGCAAAATGAACAAGAAACCCAAAAGGCCCTTCTCTTGCCATCTGATTGACTAGATGCCTAGGGCCAGGGTTTTCACTCTAGGTCAGGAGCACAATGGGCTGAGGAGTTTATTTCACTGCTCAGCTCAATGCACAGTTCATTCAAAAAGCAGTGCTGAAATGCATCACAGTATAGCTACTTCTGACCTCTGCATTCCTCAAGATCTCCAAGCATGCATAGCTTTCCATGTGGCTAACGTGAGAAGAGCAAGAATGCTCAGAAAGCAGGTTGCTCGACCATGCCCTCTTAAGAATGCAAAAGGCAGTTTCAGCAGCCTCAACCCTCTGCTGAGGGCTGTGGACAAACCAAGATCACACTGAGTCCTTCTATCCTGAGTCAGCAGAGCTCAATACAAGACTTTTGCCTAGAAAAGACTCATGCCAGATTGGTCCAGGCCCTTCCTCCACACCACTTGTAAGCGGTTCCCTCATGTAGAGAATTTTCCCACCTGTCGCAGCTCTACTGAGCTGGGTGTGTACAGGTGGATAGAGACACACCCGGCAAGCTCAAGCCAGAACAGATTATCACCTAGCAACAGAAGTGCTGGCAAGGTCCCTGTTCCCACAGCTTACCCTATGCTCTGATCTGGCACCTTTGGTGGGCACTGCCTCCCCAGGAGGGGCTGCCGCTGGGGCTGCAGCCGGCTTCACAGCAGACACTGAGGGTAAAAAACACATCAGTCAAAAACAGAAGCCAGGTAGAAAGCACATTTGAGCTCCTTGCTTAAGTGACACAGTATGGAAGCAGCCTTGAATTAGGCTGGAAAGGTTCCAGGCATAGCTGAGCAATCCAGTCTGGAGCAAGCAATGCAATACTGTGGAAGGCCTTCACCATAAATGCCTCTGTTTGATGCCTTTAACCTTATACACTCTGCCCCAAAGCAGAGAGACTCGAGAAGAGAACAAATGGCTGTTGCCTCACCTGGCTTGCTGTCGATGGGCTGAGTTGACACAGGCGGCACTGGTGGCATTGTAGTGGGAATTGGTGCTGCAGCAGGGGGGGGAGCAGGTGCAGCTACAGGTTCAGGGGCTGCAGGAGGAGGAGGGGCTGCTGCTGGTTTAGCCTTGGCAGGAGCAGCTGAAAGACAAGGAAGAACCAGGGTAAGGGCACCAGCTTCCACTGGCAGAGATCTGTGAGTCCAACCAACCCAACAAAAGTAAACCCTCAGGCAGAGTGCCTTCATGCTCTCAGCACTACTGAGCTGACAGAAGTCACCACAAGAGAATGCAACTGTAAAAGTGTTTTACCCATCAACACCCTTGACCTCCTCATTGGAGGAGGCTGGCTACTACAGAGAAGAGAGCACAGAAGGGAGTTAGGGGAATTTTCAGGTAGTTATAGCTAGGAGCTCATATAGCTATAGCTGTGTCTTCCCCACAGGGAACAAAAGAGAAGATCCCCCTAAGAAGGACTAAAATGACGCTTTTCTAATGGACAACAGAATAGGAGTATTTTCTTCCAGTTACAAAGGCAGATGGGGGAATTATTTAACCTCTCTCAGGATCCCTCTAAATGCTTTGCTAAATGCTAAAAAGCATTTTATTCTAAATGCATGAATCTTCAGAAAAAAACCTGTGGAAACACAAAGGCATATGCAAGTTATACATGCCTGACTTACCTCCAGTTTTCCTGAGTTTGAATAGAGGTGTCCCCCCTTCCACTTTGCCACCATCAGGTACCAGAAGGGCTTCAATCACACCAGCTGCTGGGGCTGGAACTTGCACTGATGTCTGGAAAAAAAGAAAATCAGTGAAATTCTCCCAAGCATCAGCTGGAGACCAAGTGCCCAAGAGAAGATGCCAATATATGCAGATACACATTGTAATTTGGCACAGCCAGCAGCTATGTCTCACACTATTTGCACCAGTTTTCACACCCTCCACCAGGATTTTGTGCCAATAGTTAGAAACTTTGGAGATGCTGGCAGTGTAATGTATAGCCTGATCTCCAGGGTAGAGTCAAGAAGTGACCCACTGCCAGCATCTTCCTGACAGCAAAGCTGAAAACAGAACTCAGCAGAGAATTCAGCAAGACCTTCAAGGCTTAACAGTCCTTTCAGGGGTGGATAAACTTAAAGCCTAAATTAAACGATCTGAAGACAACCTATGGCTTGCAGATTTCTCCTTTGTTTAAGCACAAACAGGTTTCAAAACTCCAAGCACTCAAATTGGAAGAGGAGTAAAATTACAGCTCCAATAAACAACAACACCAGTGATGATTAATCAAATGGATGATAAAGGGTTATCAAGAATTCTCACTTAAGGCACAGCAAGTTTTATACTAGATGAGAAAAGCTTTTCTCCGTGAAGAGAGCAGGAGACACAGTCAGGGCCCTGCAGGCTCTAGGAGCTCTTAGCAGGAGGGAAGCCACACAGGGTACCTGCTCCAGAACTAGAAAAAGTTTTGATCCAGAAACTCCTACCTTGTCTGTTTCAATCTCACACACCACTTCATCTTCCGCCACTGTGTCTCCAACAGCTGAATGACAGATATGAAGACCACTGTGAGGAGGGAGGTTGCTCCGGCCTCCCCTCTTTACCCACAGCAGTTTCCCACACTAACCCATAACTTCTTCATCCCACTTCTCCACAACTTCTAAAGAAAAACTAGCTCAAGCAACCTACTGCACAGTTAAGAGTCTGATCCCAACTTAGACATCTCCCTTCATTCAACACTATCCCTGACAGAGAGGTGATGAGGCAGTAACTGCAATTCTTAAGCCCTTAGGATAGCTGCAATTAAATGCCTCATTTGTCATAGACTGAAAGGCACAGAGCAGGATGTCAGTCAGTGAAACTGTAATGCATCCCCAAGGTGTCCAACACAGCAGCAACAGCGATAAGAATTTCAGGGAAGAGGCAACTGCTTACCTTTCTCCCACCTGACATCTCCTTCTGTGACTGACTCTGCAAAGGCTGGTGTGTTCACCGTAACCACGTCATCCCCTGTGGGAGAGACAAACAGACTTGACTGCTTTCAGAGCTAAAAATTTACGGTATTGCTTCATTTTTGTCATCACAACTGTGCTAAAGGGGGTAGGCCATCGGATATCAATTGCTGTCTGTCTCCTCGCTTCAACATTGATTAACATTTAAACACCAGAGAAATTCACATTTGACTGAAAGCTACATTGTGACAAGAATGCCAGACAAAATCTTTAGGGCCCTGGGGATATAAACCCTGAGTCATCCATGCAGGCAGGACAGCAGTGAGCCTTGCCCAAGGATGGAAAGTAGCTGTTGGCAGGACAGCAAGAGGTAGCAAAAGAAGCATCACGCCGATTCCTGCCTTTTTACTTACTATGTACCGCAGTGGTTCTGAAGTAGCGGACAGTGAAGACACTGGAGCTATTTACTCTGCAGAAAGAGAGAAGAGTATGAACACAGAAGAACTCTGCAGGCTGCCAGCTCCAAGCTCAAGTACAGAATTTACGCTTGCTTAACTGATGCAAAAGGCTTGGCTGTTCTGATGTATTTGTTCCAAAGGATCCTATTTACTCTTCAAGCTGCAACAATCCAGTAAGAAAGGAAGCATTACATCCTACCATCACCAGTGCTCTCAGAAACTCAGGGAGAACTGATATGTATGGAACTTCCATTTAGACACACAATCCAACAGAACCTTCATAGTTGAAATAGTGATTAAAGGGTGACCTGGCCAGCCCAAATAATGCCTAAGACTAGGGTAGCAACAATTTTTTTACCTCCAGATTAGGACTGTCAGCTCTACAGAAGTTGTTAGCAAACCAGCTATTTTCCTCCACCATGTTTCTTCACAGGGAGCTGGCAATCCCAAGCATTCCTAAGGATGATTTTTATATCTATTGACATCACATTTGGAAAACTGAAACAAACGTGCTTTATCATTTCCTCTAGCACAGGCTACTTTGTACAAACAAAGGATTTCAAAGTATTTCAGGCTTTTATGCATCTACTCTTACGCTTATTTCCCCAAATACATTTTTATAAGACCACCTCATTAGTGCAAACCCTGACATATGAACAACAGCTCTGGGAAAAAAGCTCCACTTCTCCCAGCAGAAAATCTACCAGGAAACCATCATAGAGCAGACAACACCTCTAGTCAGATAATCAAAGAGTAGAAATCCACTTATTTCTGGTTTCCTCAACCCTGTCCCTTCCCTGTCTCAGTATCTGGCTGCAGACAAAGCTTATTTTCAGTTCCCAACCTGCAAAACCTAGATATTTTAGGGCTATCTCCATACTCCTACAATCCTACAAGGATTTCATGACAGCCAACCATATTCTGTTCCTCAGACCTCAAATCTTATCATGGCTAGAGCAGCCCCAGTCTCTTCACATGGCAGTTTTCCTGTGGGTACTTACACAAGCTTCCTGCTGTTTGGGTAAGCCAGTCCCTGGCTCCCAGACACACCTGTGAATGAGAAAGGAGTTATATTATCCAGCTGTCCAGCCCTCAAGTACCCTCATCAGATAAAAGAAGGCAGAGGACACTGTTGCCCACCCTGAAAGAAGTTTGGGACCAAATGGGGAATATATCCATGCAGAGACACCTCAGTGCCATCAAACCTGGCCAGAGCTTGCCAAGAACAGTGGTTTTGTCTTCATCTAGATTTCTAAGGATGGGGAAAACAGTTATAGCTTGACAACAAAGCTAACAAGGGTAACTTTGGAAAGGCCAAACAAAGCAGCAGCTACCCTTCAGAGCAAAACCAGGAAAGAGTTATGAGGAACTACAAGAACTGCTGAGTTATCCACACCCATTCAAAGGATGGAGCAAGGTATCAGCCCTGTAAGAGACACCCCAGAAAGCCTTGCAGTCACAGAGACAGCCAAAGAGGAAAGAAAGGACTGAAAAAAGGGTGTAGGACAGATAATGAGCCACCATCACCCCTCTTCTCTGCCCACTCCCTGTCCAGAGAAAATTATTTTCAAAACTCACAAGAGGGAAATACTTGCACAACTTTTCAGTTTCAGATGCCCCACTGTCCCCTTCCCACACTGCTCACATGCCCTGACACTGCATTTTTTATTATGAACTGGACTCCTGTCCTTTGTCACTTACAGGGCACTGGGAAGTTTTCCAGACTGATCTTAAAGAGAGTTAGCATAGTAACTGGAGGACATAATTATCTCAATTACACAATGCCAGAGGGAAGAACCATTTCCCCACTTTTTAAAAAAGCAGAACAATTTCTACAGTACAGCTAGAAAAAGCAGAGTTCTAAGGAAAAACAGTTTAAGCATCGAAGCAGAGTTCACAGGCACACTAGATCTAACACGTCACTTAACATCCATCCATAATTTTCAAAGGAGTTTATTAGAGAGCTAGGGCTCTGCAACAGCATGTGCTTCGAGCAGTGCAATGCCTGAAATACACTGTGCTGCTGCTGTGAAATCTTCACCAGAGCCAAAGGGATCAAGCAGCATGTACATCAGGCAAGGAGGCACTCCCATGGAAACTTAGCTCATTCCACTGCTTCTTCACTACATGACTGACAGAAATAAACCCCAATTAGACCTATTAGCAGCTTCCATCATCAGCTCTGTTCTTTCTAAGTAGCCTGAAATGAAATAAAAGTGTAAGACTCACCAGACAGAGGGCATCTTGCCAGAGTACAGTTCCCCTGTCAGAGAGAAAAGGATGTATCAGTACTGCAAGAAGACAATCCCATCCCAGAAGGACTTTGGTTTTTCCCTGAGATCTGAATCAGACACAGGACCCACCATTCCCATGCTCCAGTCTGCAGGCATTCCACTTTCCCACAGTGTGCTAGAGCAGGAGAAGAACACCTATGCCCTTCTTTATCCTTTGTCTCCTCCCAGGGTGCTTTATGATGCAGTGATGTTAAATTTGGTGCTTGCATTTTCCAGTTCTGGATCCAGCAGTTTTGACCTTCTCATGCACACTTTCCTCTTTAAGAAGGAACAGATTTCCAATAGAATTTGCTATGAATGAGAAGGTAAAGGGTAGCTACTGGATATGATGATAAAACATCCCAGGATGTTCACTCCTACAGTCATGAATGCAGCATCTAGGGGTTTTAAAAATTTTTTCTAAAGCTACGGAGCCTTTGAACTCCAGAAGACCAGAATTCCTTTCAGTGGCAAAATTCCTACTGCTGTCAGTTAGTCAGGAATTCCACATTCTTTGATGTTTCACTTCATACCTGTGTAATCATTGACTGCACTCCTAGCTCAGCATAGCAGCGCTCAAAAGTAGAACACATTTCAAAATATTCCAATTACTTCCCCCTACTGTTATTACATATTTGTCTCACATCAAACCTGCAGGATTGGAGAAGATAAGAACTCTTTTAAAAGCAATTGGAAAATAGCACCATAGCCATGATGGAAATACAGCTGACTGGCTTAGAATGACAGCAACTCAAGAGCTCAAAGCACCCTTATCCAGCAGCTAAGGTAAAAGTTAGATTTCCTTCACACCTTCAGCATCTGAAGTTTGCATACAAGCCCTGATTTCAGCTTCAGCAAAGCAAGTAGGATGGGATATAACTGACCTTAAATAGCAAAATAATTTGAGGAGTTGTGTGGCAAGACAACAGAGACCAAGGACCAACAATATACTTAAGCTTGGCACACCATCTACAGGACTGAGTGCCGCAGCATATAAAAACACATTCAATGAACACTTTGCATCAAAACTACTAACAGGCCTGGAATCAAGCCCCCCCCTTTGGTGGTTTAATTATCCAATCTCATAAATGAATTTGACTTTTGGATATTAACACAGAGACAACTCAATGATCAATGGGCAATCCAACAGGGCTATGATTAGCTGTGCAAGGATGCAGGCAGCCAGTCTGACTTGCTGCTAAGCTCCAGCCCAACACCATGCAGCCACCCTGCTTGCCACTTCACTGCAGGGATCAATGATCCTGAACCAACAGTCCTGCAAAATCAGCTTCTGGCAGGGCCTGCTGGAGTCCCTGCCCCAAGTCAAGCTGGGGAAGGGAAGGCAGGAAGTACTGTGCAGACTTTGTAGAGTCATCTTGAACGCTACAATGCCTAATCTTGGTGCAGCACTGGCCCCTGCTAATTCAGATCTGGTTTGTGTAGAGCAAGCTCTAAGCCAGGATCAGTAAGACAAACTCCAACTTAACTCCACTGGGTCACCTCTCTAGAGCACCACAATCCCCAGGACTTTGTATTGATCAATTTTTCCCACTTTCTGTAGTGTCCCAGATAGCATGGAGTCAATCATAAATTGAGTATCAAGCGACCTGAGTTCCCCTCTATCCACTAATGTTTCCCTGGGTTCTTTATTAAAAAAGTGGTTAAAGGCATTCCTAGCATGCCAGACAATAAATTGTTAAGAAAGGAACAGCCTCAGACTGATGCAAAACCAGACAATTTTATTTGCCGAGGACCAGTTTACTGTGGAGTTAAAACAAAAAGGAAAGTTTAGAAGGTCTGTCCTAAAATAAATCGCTGTGAAAAAACATCTGCAGCTCTCTTCCACTAGTGGTGTCAAGTCTGTGTTCTACAACTGCAGCAAAATTAAGGAAAAAATTGGTATCATTCTGTGCCTTTAAGGTTAAGGAAGTAGGAGAAGAGCTTAATGTGAGGAGGAAGCCATTAATAAAATATACTGTGATTTCTCAGGCTTACATGCTGCAGAACTGCTGTGTGTCTATCTCTTAATCACAGTACCTCAGATGAACATGCAGCTTCAGGAGACACTGGACACGGCTGCTTCCTGTTCCCTTTTTTCCCTGAAGGAATCATTCTGATTGCACCTCTTCCCGGATCACATGGCTAAATTTGCCCTCTGCCTTCTATTGGAGCTTTTTCAGTGACAATGGAAATATTTCAGTTTTGCTACGTGGTATTAGCACTTTGGGTCAGCTCAAGAAAACAGCCTTCACTTGGGGAAAGAAGTCTTGGTCCAATTAGCCAGTGACTCATGTACCAAGTGATTAATATTTCCCTCTCGTTTCACGTGACTTCTCAGAATTGTTTTTATAACTGTTATTACGTCAAAGTGACCCTGGCATGCACCGTCCCAGGCCACACCTTTCAAGGAGCCATCACCTTCCAGCAGGTCACTACACACTGAAATAAAGGATGGAACACATCAGCTAAAGCAACAGCCTGTATACCAACAGTGAGGGACCAGTTCAGGTAAGGAATCTGAAGAACTTGACAGTACAGCTCATTTCAACAGAGGCAAACCAGAAGGCCAGTGCTGTGCAGCTCCAACAACAGGCAAAGCAGCAATTGGTTCTCCAGCCATGGCTTCTTAAGAGCAAAGCAGCTGCTTCTTCGACAGAAGAAGCACAAACCCCTGCTACACGTGGAAACCCCACTGCCGGGCTTACATGGCTATCAAAACAATTATATACAGCATGGGAGTATAAAACTGTGCCAAGATAGGATGGAGATAACAATGCTGAGTGGTGGATACTGTTCATAAGACAACAGGCTCAGAACTCCTCCAGCATGAGGGGAGGATCAAACAGGGAAGAAAAAGTTTTTTACAACTCCTGCCCAGATAAACAGGATTTGATTCTCAAAGCATTTTATGCAGCTCCTGATCAAACCTATCGTTTCCAGACTAGCTCTTCTCTGGACTTCTTCACATAGACTTCAAGGTCTGCCTGCCCCTGCCCTGACTCTTACATGCTACAGGCTATTGATGCACATTCATGGTTTCTACTTGATATGAATTCAGGACCTTTTCTTCTTTTACAGACAGTCAAAACCCAGTCAACCTTTTCTCACCCTCACCGACTCCACTCTTCTCCCATTCAATCCTCCACTTCTGAATTTTGTACATGTCTACTGTTCTCACTTCTGCCATCAGAGGTTTGTCAAGTTCTGGAATTTCTTTCTACCTCTCCAAAAAACCTGTATTACATCATAATCAAAATTTACTTCCCTTATCGCTGTTCAAATGGAAATCAAACTACTACTATAATTTTTCCAGTACATCTAACAGGTTAACTAGCATTCAGCCTAAAACCTCCTGATTTTCAGACTAGTTTTGTAAAAGGTTTGAATATTCCATCTGACTTCTTCCTGTTCTTTATAATTGCACAGCACCACTGAGAGCTGACAAAGGTTGAATATTGCTAAAATGCCACTTTAATAAGCGTGCTTAAACTGCATTACGAACAGTTTTACTCTACATATACGTATAACAAACTGTAACTATACAGTTACTTGTAAGTTGTTCATAATGCAGTATACACACGCATTTATAAACACAAAGGTGTCATTACATTACAATCGGTTGTCAACACTTGCTCGCCTACATTTACAGGGTGTCTAAAATCAAGTCTCACGCTCGAAGGCTTCAGCTGGTCACTGGAAGAGATCTTTCTCATCCCGCAGTTATGCACATATACGTGTGTGCACATGAAGCTGTGTATGTTTGCTGTTTAAATGGAATATGTGTGCAGCAGGACACAGGACCCAGGTGGCCAAGGACAGCTCCAGGGTTAAGCAGCTATTGGGCTCTGTCAGCCCACGCTGCAGCCAGCAGAGGTTACCACCGTCTGCAGCGGTTCAATGACCGCCCCGAGAGCCGAGCACACCATTTAAACAACAAACCGCATACCGGTTTGTTGCCGATCCTGCACGGGGCGCACCCCGGCCGGGGAGGTCTCTGCCGGCGCAAGCCGGTGGCTGCCAGCAGCGAGGGCCCCAAATGCTGCAGACACTGACAGGCGGGACGGCGGAGCCCGAGAGCGGCGGCGTTCGGAAGCCCTTCCCGCCGCTCAGCTCTGCCGGTGCCGCCGCCCTTCCCGCGGGGCCGGGCCCGGCAGCGGGGCAGCGGCACCCGCTGGGAAGGGGCAGCGCCGCGCCCACCGCGGCCCCTGCTGGGGGACAGCCTCGCCGCCCCTTCCTGTGCCCGGCCCTGCCGCGTCCCCGGGGCGGCGGTGCCGAGCGCCAGGCAGCAGGGGACGCGTCCCGGTGCCCTTGGCGCCGCCGACCTCGCCCGCCCAGCCGCCGCCCTACCTCCCCGCCCCGCTCCCCGCGGCCGGTGCCCGCGGGCCGTACCTGTCGCAGGGCGCGCAGCGAGCGGCCCAGCGCGCGGCCGAGGCAGCGGGACCGCCACAGCGGCACCATCGCGGCGGCGGCGGCGGCGGCGGCGGCGGGAGGGGCCGCAGGGCGGACACCGGAAGCAGGCCCGGCGCGAGGCGGAAGCGCGGGGGGCCGGACCAAGCCCGCAGAGCGGGGGGAGCAGGCGGGGCGGGACCATGGCGGGCGGGGCCGGGCTGTGCGCAGGGCCAGGCCGCGGTCCGCTCGGGGTGGTGCTGTGTGGTACCGTGTGTGTAATGATACAGGTGTGAACACATCCTGTTTAACTATGTTCTGTTACTTATAGATCACATACATATAAAATAGCTGTGTATTACGTATGCTTATATAAACACGTATCTATATATATAGATGCTATTATACGTGATGGCATATGTATATGTGTAATAAATAACCCCAGGCATTACGAAGAGTGCAAGAGTGCTGATTCATGACGCTCTTCTTTGAAGCAGCTCTGGGTCGCTGCAGGGCAGCTGTAGCCGTGTTTTCCATGCTCACCTTGGCTAACCATGGCGCTGAGCTGCTGTGGGATGACATTGCCACAGGCATCGCCCAGTGGGATGCTGCATGGTTAGAAACGGGCAATGAGGTCATCTCACCATCCCAAACAGGAAAACGAGTCCACAAGTAAGCCCTGTTCCTCAGGTGTGCTCTGTATGTTGAAAACATTTGAGAATTCCCCAGCTAGCTTCCATTTTCTGCCTGCTTCCAGCTAGGGAACCACAGGTGGAAGAAAAACCAAGGAACCTATTTACAGATTCTGAGAATCAGCCTGGGATAGTTATAAAGGGCTGTCTGAGAAGCCAGGCATCTCTCAAGGAGCCAAGTCTGGGTTATGCACATATGCTTAATTTAGCCACTGCTTAATAATATATGAATGGTTAACTTCAAGCTTCAAAATAGGAGATCATTTTCAAAGGAAAGAGGTTGAGTAAAAATCAACAGGGGATAGTTTCTGAGGCTTTGAGGATGAGCTGGCTGCTCCAATAAAAGGTAACTGAGCCAGAAAAGCTCTGTGCCAGGGATTTCTCTGTGATCTGTCTTTCGAAGGCTAATATCCTTGAACAATATTGACCACCTGATGTCAGCTGCCTTTAGCCAGAGCCTCCTGCCTACCCAGTGAACACACCAGGCATTTCCGTGCTCAGTTAGCGTGCAGAAGCAAAGCAGTGAAGCCCCAGGAGGGCATGCATGGCCAGGCTTTGCCCACGCACCCACAGCTCCTGCATGAGGAGAAGTGTCTGAGCAGCACGCGTGCTGCCGGGGCAGGTGGGTTTGTCCTGGGGCTGGGCTCAGGTTGTGCTCTGCTGGGAATGACACCAGCGCTGCTGTGCTGTCTGTGACAAGCCAGGGACTCTCTGCTGCTGATTTTCCTGTGTTGTCCCATTTCTTGGCCACGTCCTATGCTGCAGATCTCCAGGACAGCTAAATTGCCTCCGTGTCCCCATGGTGTGGGATGTGAGAAATGCCTGGCCACTTCCCATGGAAGATGGGTAGCTGATGGGATCTGGGCCAGCTCCTTCCTTGCTGTGGCACTGCTTGCCAGCCTGGTGTATTTGCCAACATTTCACCATCCTGGGTCCTGAACGGGACTTCCGGCCAAATTCCAGGGGGAAATTGCTCCTCTGGGCCGCTGCCCACCCGGGCAGCCAGGCACCTGGCGGCCCTGGCCTGTGCGGCGGCAGGGCCTCGGCGGGCGGCAGGCGGCACGGAAGGTGGCCGGACGCTGCTGCTGGGCCTGACCCGCTGGGTGTCCATCTGCATATTCAGGAGTCGTTCCCAGCTGGTTGGCTGCCTCGGGCCTCCCCACTCCCTCTTTAAAGGCCTGAGCGCGGCGGGAGGACCGGCACGGCGGCACCGCGCTCCCGGCGCTCGGCTCGGCTCGGCTCGGCACAGAGTGCTCGGACAGCACGCTGCTCCCTGCACGGCTGTGCCACCGAGGAGCGCCCAGGGAGCCCGTGAGCGGTGGCTCAGTTCTGGAGAAGGAACACTGCCTTCGTCTTCTGGGCATCTTCGGCCCGTTCCTGTCTTTTTCTTCAGGTAGGAAGAGACTCGGCTGCTTTTTAGTGTTCTGGAGGGTGGCACTAGTGAAAGCTGCCAGCAAGAGTGGGCACCACAGCACGCACCTGTTAACTTCGTGGGGAAAGGGCTGCATCAGCAGGAGGAGTTTGCTTAGGGCAGCACCTCCTGGTCCTGCGGAGCCGGGGATGCTGTGAGGGGAGCCAAGGCCACCCGCAGCGGGCTGCCGTGGCCTGGGACGGGAGTCTCTGCTCCCTCCCTCCAAATCTCCAGAAGAAAGACGGTGGTGCTGGAAACCTTTAGCAGGTGGAGGTGACCTAGCCAGCTCTGAGTTGATCTGCTTAAAAGGGGTGTATCACCCAGGTTCCAGGGGGCTGGGAAACCTCAGCCCAGGGGACAGGTAAGCTCCTGACCTTGCTGTTGAGCACAGCAGATGAGAGAAACTGTGAGCAAGTGTCAAAAGAAGGTGGTTCTGTAGAAAAACCAGTGAGGTTACAGGACCACACCATTGAGGAAAGGATTAAGGTTGGATGGCATCTATGACTGCAATGTGTTTGCTGTCACATTTGCAAAGTCACAATGTGTTTGTGACTTTGTTGGGTGCAGATGGCAGGCTGAGAGGCAGCTGCAGGCAGTGCTGAAGCTTGTAACACAAGGGCAAGGCAGGATGTTGGGAGCTGCTGGCACCCCAGCCTTGTGCTGGCTGTGGATAAACTGAGCAGCTTGAAAGACCCTACAGCAGACTCTTAGGAAAATGAAACACAGATCAACATGTGGTGTCAGATAACCCAGAAAATACTTGGTTTGTCAGGACTATTGCTCTGCAAAAGGTAGAGCTCTCCCAGGCACCTGCCTGGAATTCAGGGTGTTTGAAGAAAGGCAACCTGCTAAAAACCCCTGAGAAGAAACCCATTTTCTACACTGCCTTGATGACTTGGCATGGAGCAGTTACAGGGACAGGAGAAGGATGGTGTTGAAAATGATCAGGCATTTGTGGGCATAGCAAAAGAATCTCAGACTTTAAAGGTGTCCGGAAAAGACAAGAGCTGTCCTAATTTAGTGGTGTAAAGCTGCTGCTAATTAATGTGGCTAAGGAAGAAACATCCCACAGGGAGGGTTACTGTGTAATTGCCCAGGATACAATGTTTTACACCTTCTTTTCTAAGCTGTGCAAGCGCTGAATGAGCGGAGGGGGTGAATCCCTGCTTGGAGCCAGCATGACAGTTTTAAGCCGGGGGCTGCTGGCTCAGTATTTTTTCTCTTCCCTGATAATCCCCATCCTCATTTCTTTTATTCAGTGTTTTGCCAAGCACTTAGGAACCCCATGTTGAGTTAGCCTGAACATCTCGATGTATCCTGCTCACAGCAGGTCACATTGCACTTTTACCCTCGCTGTGCTCTCCTCCACCATCCCGTTTGTGCTGGCCCAGCCCCAGGTGCTGCCACCCCTCCCCGTGCCCTGGGGACTCAGCTGGCGGTGCTGGGGCTGGCAGAAGCCGGCAGCACCCATGGCCTAGCTGGCTGTGTGCCGTGAATACCTTCAGCAGGGGTGCAGCTGCTCCTCTGTGCTCTGCCAACACCCAGGAGCACCCCAACCCACCCTTTGCCCAGGTGTACGTGGCAGAGGGCTCTGCCGGGTGCTCCCTGCCCTCATAGCAGAGTCCACAAGCCCAGAGGGCAGCTTCCCCAAATGCCTCTGGTGCAGATGCAGCTGGTGATGTGGGAAGTTTGTGCTGCTAGGCACTGCTGGGCCCAAAGCAGGTGAAATGTACTCTGGGCACAATGAATGCCTGGCTGGTAGGTGGGAGGTGTGGTGGTGCCCAGGGCATTGCTGCTGTTGTGTGACATCTGACAGTCTGCTCACAGGTTTTGGAGTGCTTGGAGGTTTCTGCCTGGGTCATTCCCTGGTGAAATCGTTTTTGTAGCGGAGCAGGGATGCCATGGAAATCTGGGAGAAAAAAAATCCCTGGCCCTGTGCTTGGAAAACTGATGTATGAGGTCCTGTTTCTTGCTCTTTCTCCTGTTCCACAGCACTAGCAGGCTGAAACATCAAACACCTGGGAAGCCTACCAGTCTGTCCAGGCAGGAAGAAGATATGATGGACAGCAGGACTGGCTTTGAGCAGGATAGAGACTGTGCCACTTCAGGGGATGGCCAGGGGCTGAAATTGGAGCCCTGTTTCCAGACTGACTCTCTCTTGCCAACCCCCAGTGCATCCCTGATACCACAGCTCCTCAGCCACACAATGGTTGGCAGGAACCTGGATCCCACCATTCTTTTCCGTTCCTCTCAGGCAGTGGCCTTGCCTTATGACTACAAATGTGATGCATGTCCTGGAGAAGAAGCACAAGCCCTGGCTTTCCCCAGGCCCCGTGCCCCAGCTCCCGTGCCCTGTGCTGGGGATGGGGACCAGCTCTCCAACCAGCACCCACGGGAGCAGCTCTGTGACCAGCACTTACGAGCCAAGCGGGCCAGGGTGGAGAGCATCATCCAGGGCATGAGCCTCCCACCAACTCCGCAGGCATTTGACATGAGCCTGGAGGCAGCTTTTAGGCAGGAGAGGGAAAGGGGTGGTGAGATGCTACAGGAGAGCAAGAGGAAGCCAAGGGTGCCCCAGCAGAGCACGGGGGCAGCTGGAAGTGTGGCTCCCACAGGGCACAGCTCCCATGCCAAGGGCTGTCAGCAGCTGAAGGAGCAGCTCTGCTTTTTAGAGCAGCAGCTGAGGTGGCTTCAGGAGAAGTTCTACCAAGTCTGTGACTCTGAGGATGCTGCCCAAACACAGGAAGATTCTGAGAAAGTGCAGCCACTGCCTGGAAAGCCTGAAGACAGACTGAACAAGGACAGGGCCACTTCCACCAGCAACCCACGCAAAGTGCCTCTCAGGAGGAGTGTCCTGGAGGTGTGTGGGCTGGAGGAGGTGGAGGACAGAGGTGACACAGGTGGCCTGCCCTTGGCAGTGAGGGTACTCTCGCAGGCACTGAAGCACGAGCTGTCTGTGGTGACATCCCAGGTAGTGGACTCTGTCCTGAAGACTGTCTGGCCAAAGGCAGACAGCCACATCCAGAAGCAGCACCACAGCCTTCCGATGCTGGGGCCAGATGCCAGGAGAGAGTATTCTGCTGGTGGGAAATGCAGAAAGCCACTTGGTAAGCCATCTCCCATGAATGCACCAGGCTCCCTGGGCTCACCCCAGGCTGAGGTCCTGCCAGGAGCTTTGGGGAAGAGTCTGGGTTCTTATGCTGCCTCCTTCAAGTCAAAGGGGGTCAGAAAATCCTCTCGGGTACCCAGCATGGGTTATTCACTGGGCTCAGCCACCCCTGTCCAGCACAGCCAGCTGCTGAGCCAGCTGTTGGGCTATGGCCAGCACAGCCTCTGGGGCAGCAACTCTCCTGAGAGCCCATCTGCTCTGGAGAGGGGTTGTCCAGAGCCCCTCAAGTTGCCCTGGGAAACTGTTAAACTGAGGTCATCGATTGTGAGACAGCACCATCCCCTGCCCCTGGGCCCTGCCAGCATGGAGAGCCTGGCACTACTGCCAGCTGGCAGGGATGGCCACGGTGAGCTGCCAGCTGCAAGTGATGGAGCACCCTTTGCCTCGACCCACATATCCTTTGGGGGCAGCTAGAGGTCCCTGGGGAATGTGCTCCCCTTGTCCTCTGGAGCTTGGCACTGCCCCTGCTGGTCTCTGCAAGGCTAAGGTCCCTGCTGCTCCATAGGGGGCTAAACAGGTGTGGGCAGGAAAGGAGTCCTGAGCCATGGAGGAGCACTGCCCCTCCTCAGGGTTGGCCAGATGCTGTAGCATAGCTGTGAGTGTAAGACAGGAGCTACTAAGCCTCCTCTTGGGCCATACTGGGGATCCTGTCACCCTAAACCATGAACAGGAGTCTCATGGAAATTCTGGTTCTCACAAGACTGTGAAGTGCTGTGAGGAGCATTAGCTTCCTCAGGGATTCTCAAGGGAAAAACCAGTGGCTGTCCAGCCGAGGATGAACCCCCTCTGCCCCCCTGACAGGCCATGGGGGGCTATCGAGGGCACTGGGCATGCGTGTGTCAGGGGTGGTGCTCAGGGACACGCCGAGCTCGGGGTTTGCTATGTGTAGGCTTTCCTTGACCCCAAGGCAGATGCAGGAGGCGCTGACCCCAGGGCACCTGAAGAAGGCCAAGCTGATGTTTTTCTTCACCCGCTACCCCAGCTCCACTCTGCTGAAGACCTACTTCCTTGATGTGCAGGTAAAGGAGCAGCAGCCAGAACTGGTGCTGGGCGGGGCTCCCGTGTGGTGTGGCACCTAGCCTGCCTCCCTGGGGAACCATGAGGAAAGGGCTGCTCTTGTGTCCCCCTGCCTTGCTGGCAGGAGATGAGGGACAGCACCCATTTCAGCATGGGCTGCCCAGGAGCAGGTGCACAGGGCAGTGGCAGACATGGGCTGTCAGTTCTTCACTTTGTGTAATTGAGATATTCAGATTAAAGCACCCCATGAATGTGCCTTCTCACTGCAGAGCAGCTGGGATCCGAATCTCAGTGTGGAGAACACCTCGGACACGCTGATGTCATTGCCCCAGCTTGGGGCTGGGTTTGGGCCAGTCCAGCAGTGCCTGGCTGGGTTTGCAGAAGCTCATGGGTAGGGAGGATCCAAGCTAGCCTAACACCATACTCTGGCTCCCCCACCCAGTTCAGCCGCTGCATCACCTCCCAGCTCATCAAGTGGTTCAGCAACTTCCGTGAGTTTTACTACATCCAGGTGGAGAAGTTTGCCCGGCAGGCACTGCTGGAGGGTGTTGTGGATGCTTGCACTCTCCAGGTCTCCCGGGACTCAGAGCTCTTCCGTGCCCTCAACATGCACTACAACAAGGGGAATGACTTTGAGGTGAGGAGGAGGGTCAGGGGAAAGGGGGTGCTGGCGTTTTTTGGGGTAGGGAGGCACCATGACATGGTGGTGCCACTGGCTGATGGCTGTCTTGCTGCAGGTGCCAGGGCGGTTCCTGGAGGTGGCCAGCCTGACACTGCAGGAGTTCTTCAGTGCCGTCAGGGCAGGCAAGGATGCCGACCCCTCCTGGAAGAAACCCATTTACAAAATCATTTCCAAACTAGACAGTGACATCCCAGAAGGGTTCAAAGCTGCTGGCTGCTCCCAAGAATTGCTCCACAGCTGAGTCTCTGTGAAAGCAGCCCTGGGTTGTGTGTGCAGCCACCATGTGCAACTCCTGGGCACTCTGTACAGCACCTGTTATTTGGGGCATTCTCTCTCTGAGAGCCATGTGCTCTCTGTAAGACAGCTCCTGAGGTGAGGCGTATCACTTGCCTCATGTGCTGGGATTTTATGCTGTGCATTGTATTCTGCTGCTCAGAACTGGTGAGGACTGCCAGAAGGGAGGGACAGAGATGAAACCACCAGGTTGGAGCCTGAGAAGCTGCCCTGCCCCAGCTCTCCCTATGACCCTGACTGAGCCGCCTTCATTCTCTTTTCCAGAGGGTCACAAACCAGGGCAAACAGCCTTGCTGTTTATAAAACAGGAAGAGGTCCTAGTAGTGGGCAAAGTTTCCTTGGCACAGCAGACTAGCGGATGTACTGAGTCCAAAAGCATGACTCAGTTTCTGTCCAGGAACAACACACCAGTGTCCAAAGAAAACAGCTGGTGAATTCCAGCGCTTCGAGCACTCCATGGGGATAGTTGTTCCTGTCTGGGATATGTAAAAACTATGTTTGTTCTAGCCAACAAGAATAACACTCTCCTCCACCTCCCCTGTGCTGTCAGACAAGACCCCCCTGTGCAGCTGTGTGCTGTGGCCAAGCAGGTGTGTGCTCCCCAGCAGCATTCTCTGGGATGCTGGAGGAGAGCAGGCTGCACAGGCAGCTCTTCTTGGCACTCCAAAGAGTCTCCATCAGCCCATCACTTGGGAGGACAGCTCCATGTTAAATACCCTCCATGTTCTCTCACACCCGTGTTCCTGCTGGCAAAACTGCCCCAAGCATCTCTGTTCTGCACTCTGCCCTTGGTGAAAAAGGAGAATATTATTTGAGATCCATCAGTCCCTGTGGGTTTAACACAAGCTGGGGAAGAACTGGGCCTTGACATCTACAACCCCATTGCTGTGAGGGTTGTAAACTCAAGGAGGTTTCTTTATCCTGTGGCCAAGATTTAGTGACCACTTTTCTACCTGATGGAGCATGGTGAAGTGTTCTGTGTTATGGGCTCTCTAATCCTCACAGAGGTGGCAGTGGAGAGGAAAAGGCTGTGAAGAGGAGGGAGTCCTGACAGAGGCATAGCAAAAGGGTACTGGGAGGGCAGTGATGAGCAACAAAACTCACACATAATCCTCAGGGAGAAGAAGACTGGGAAAAGGCCAAGGTAATTTTGGCTGTGCTGTAAGGTGTCAGCTGGTACTAGAGTGCAGCAAGTGACTCTTGAGAGGAGAATCACAGCTCCAGCATCAGATGAATGCTTGCGGTGATCCATAGGCAATGCATCTACGGGAGTAAAGAAGTGGCAACATCAGGACACAGTGGGGAGCTAGCTCCGAAATAGGGGCAGTTTGACAATGGTTCCCCCCATTACGAGTGTGGCCACCCAGATTTCCTGCTCCTTTTTGTATATTTATTTCTCCAAGTTTGTATATTTTACAAGCCCAACGCAAAATTTACATGATTCTTTTTTAAATAAACACTTTAAGTTACCCTTTTACATCCCTGTATACCTACTTGATAGCATCTGTTCTAAAGAGTTATCCTAGAAATTTCTTGCTTTTTGTTGGGAAAAATAACACCGCAGAAAAAGGGCAGTCCTTCTGCCAGCATCTCTGTGGGGTCAGGAAGGCTCCAGTAACTAACATCAGCTCCTTTAAACCTGCCTCCTCACCCCAGTGCCTCATGGTCAGTCTGCTCTGAAGTACAACTTATGAGGGTCAGGAAGGAGGGGCTGGAGGCACACAGAGACATATCCCAAAGCTTAAGGGTGCTGGACTCATGTACAACATCAAATAAATGCTGCTGGTGGTACCATGAATGTGGCATTCCTGAGGCAGTAACGACTTCAGAGCTTAAGTAATGCTTTGGACAGGCAAAACCAAAGCTGCTGGAAAGGAGAACGATGGGCTGGCTCAGGGAAGGGACAGAAAATTCATCTGTTTGTAGCTAAATAATTACGGAACATAAGGTACAGGTTTACTGGAGGCATCCTGCTGAAACAAAGCCTTTTCACACAGAGTTCCTGATGGGGCTAGCAGTTTCTTGTTTCCTGTGGTAAAATGCAAGTCAATGTGTCAGTAAAACAGCAGGTGGGGTATCGAGGACAAGACAGTTCCCCAAATCCCAGTCATGCAGTGGCTGAGGTTGTAGGAGATGTCTGGAGGTCATCTTGTCAAACCCCCTGCTCTAGCAAGGCTACTGAAAGATGGTTACCCAGGACCATGTCAGAGGGGTTTTAAGTATCTCCAAGTAAGGAGGGAATGTTCGTGAAAAGGTCCTTCCCTCAAACACACATTAATGAACACATTTAACAGGACTGGACTATTTGCAGCAGTATTTTTTGCTCCAGTGGTTGCCACATAATTGCAAGTGGGAACTAGAGAGCTGTGTATTACACTTTTTTTTTTGGGAAATGTGGGCCAATATGACCACGACAAACAGCATCTGGCATCAGTTATGCTTTGCCTGTGATGAGGTCTCACTACTTGTATTCGTGGGTTTAATTCTGCCCATGTAAATTTTCCATCTAACAAAGACATTAAAAAAACAAACCCAAGAACCCCCAAAACAGACAAAAAACCCCCACAAAACCCCCCCAAAAACAACAACAAAACCAAAACAAAACCCCAGAAAACAAAACAAAAAGCCCTCCAGCATGGCTAGAGAGACTCTGCAAAGGACTCAAGATTACAGATCACTCAAGCCATTGGCTGGCAGCTTTTTAACCTCTGTCTACCTTCAGCCAAGTGTGATAGAGACCACAGAAGTGTCAGAGACGCAGAGGTAGAATCTACCCACCTTTTTGTCACCCTGTGGTCCTCCTGCAAGCAGAGATCCTGTCTGGGGAGCCTGGAATGCAGCTGCCTCCTCCAGGGCCACTTGTCTGTTTGGAAGCAAGGGGGTTGCACTCAGGCACAACTCTGCTCTTGAAGTTGAGTGAGCTGAATCAAAAAGCCTTGTGCTCCTATGAGAGCCTTGGAAAGCTGCAGCCAGCTGAGAAAGGAGGAGCTCACACTGCCTTTCCTCCTACCTAAGTCACAGAAGTCCTGAAATGGAGAAGGCAGTACATCTGCTGGGAGGTGGGAAAACTGGAGTTACTCAAGGGCAATGGAGCCTCAAGAGTGAGGGAAATAGGGTGTGAATTCCAACACTGTCCAGTTACGAGTGCAGTTCTGCAGGGTTCCTAGTTCTCTTCAACATCTTTATGACTTCGGACTCAAAAGAATACTCAGAATACTAAGTCTGCCAATGTTAACTCCCTTGAGGGCAGAGAGGTCTTGCAGAGAGACCTCAACACATCAGGCAGATGGGCAATCACCAATTGTATGAAGCTGAACAAGGGCAAGTGCTGGACTCTGCACATGGGATGGGGAAAGCCTGGCTGTGCACCTCCACCATCCTCAGAAGGTGAAGCAGAGGGGCAGGCACTGATTTCTTCTCTCTGGTGACCAGTGACAGGACTTGAGGAAATGAGGCTGAGCCAGTTTAGGTTAGATATCAGGAAAAGGTGCTTCATCCAGGGGGTGGTTGGAAACTGACACAGACTCTCCAGGGAAGTGGTCACAGCCCCAAGCTTGACAGAGTTCAAGAATTATTTGAACAATGCTCTCAGACACACGGTGTAACTCTTGGGGTGTCTTGTGCAGAGAGGGGAGTTGAATGTTGATGATCCTGATGAGTCCTTTCCAACTCAGCATTATCCATGCTTCTATGAAATGAAGATTTCACTACTTGTGCAGTAGAGGGTATGGTGTGTAACATCATTTACGTTCTAGTCATACCCAAGCTAGTTTTTAAACAAAGCCTAATGGGTGTCCATCACAGAGAGAGTCCTACTGAAAAGGTGAGTCTGCTTGGAGGGCTGAGAGGAGAAGGGAGAGCTGCTGCCCACACAGAGACTATGGTCATGACTCCCAGGCTTGGCTGGGCTCTTGCTTCACCATTTCCCACTAATTAGCCAAAGAAGCAACTTGGGCAGTGCAGTCACTACTGCTGAGTTTCATCTTTAAATAAAAAAATCCTTTCCCTCCCTCTATCCATATTTATTCTGTGGTATATGCAAAAAGCCCACAGGCGGCACTCGTAACTATCTCCTCTGGGAACAATTCCTCGGGGCTATCCTTTTACATTTCCAATTGCATTCCCAGCCCATCCACAACACACGAGTCCACATAGCTATAGAGCAGCAAAGGCTGCTAAATATTTTAAATCACTGATTGCTGCCTCCAGGCTGCAGCTGCTGAAAGAGGGAGGTGTGACCACACTGACTAAGCTGCCAAGGGCCTGAGAGCCCTTAGGTACTCCTCTATGTTAATACTTACCATAAGAACCCTTATTACTCAAGTGTAGCTAATTAGAGCTTGAAGAAGTTCCTACTGAATGTTCGCCCTGTATGCCAAAATAGCTTGGAGGAAATTGACAATAAAATATATCTGGTTTTTCTTTTTGTCTATTTAATGACTTGCACCTGTCTACAGTGACTGAACCAGCTCTAGAAGGTCCCAGCTCAAAGAATGTTTGAGATGTGAAAGGGTCCTTCCCTCAAATACACATCTCAGATGCTTATATGACATCAGGGCAGCTCTCCATGAAAGTATCTCTTGGTGAGCCAGTAGCCCATGTTAATGAAAACTCAGTATTTGCTGTCCCATTATAAGCATTGTAAGGACAGATTAATCTACATCTAATTAGGCTACAGTACAATTACCACATTTGAGAGATCTGACTTTTCTCTGGAGAAGACAGCCCTTCCTCTGCCTCTTGTGCACAGAGCTGCCCTGTGCGGCAGACCCAGCACCACCTGGGGAGAAGGTGAAGTGATGCACAGATAGACTGTGGAGAGCAGTCTTGAGAATAGAACAGGCTGTGGGGTCACTCAGGACACATTGGTATGTCTAGCTGATAGCAAAAGCTTCTTCCTTTTGCACACCAAGAAATAATGTATTAGTTGAACCATAGACCAGGAGA